GAAATCTGGTTGTTCAAAGGAGGCTGGCACCCTCTCCTTCTCCTGCTGCCACTCTCATCTTGTGATATGCTATCTCACCCTATGCCTTCCAACATGATTAAAAACTTCCTTAGCCTCCCCAGAAGCAGATGCCAGCACCGTGCTTCCTGTACAGTCTGCAGAATCATGAGCCAAAATAAACCTCTTTTCTTTATAAATTAACCAGCCTGAGGTATCTCTTGACAGCCATGCAAAAATGGACTAATACATCTACTTAATTGAAGTTATGGGTTTTGAATGGAATCCAAAAGCACCTACCGAAGTAGATACATCAGTGTTTAGACCTCTTGCTGTTCTTGTCTTTTCTCTTGTTGGTTAAGATGTTTCCGTCATATGTTTCCAAGATGAAATATAATTATAAAGCATTCATCCTTTGGGCTTTATGTTAATTTTGCACTCAGAAAGATAAACGAGTGTTTATTAAATGAGCACTGTGCAGATGACGCCAATGTTGCCATTTGAATGTTACTCTCTAAGATAGGTTGAACTCCTTTCTCATATGGACAATCACAAAAAGATTTAAGTGCACATTGCAACAAAATTCTCATAGCAATTAGGTTTGTAAAAATGTATATGGTCACAATATAAAAGATTTGAAAAATGACCCTTTTTAAAGTAGCAGTGCAATTAAGACACTTGGATTCCATGAAGGAAACTAGAGAAGCACAATGCACATTATTACAACCAATATCTGTCTCTGAAATGAGTTAACAAATGGAATGAACAAGTGGATCGCATTGTGGTGAATCATGTTTAATTACAATTAAGCAATAATTTTTCATGAGCCATCACCATTAAAATAGTTCATGAGAAGAGATGTGTGCTGGCATTAGCCAACTCACTAGGTACAGCTAGGTTAATTTTAACTTTTAATCTTAATATTTTTATATTAGTCTACATATTCTCTTCAGACAAGGAGGTCTTTTATTTCTACATTGATAGAAACTAATGTAGAGAGTATAATTTCTTAGTTGTTAAAAAGGCTACTATCAAAAAACACTAATAAGCAGAAATTTTACACAGACATACTAATATTAGGTATTTAAACTGTGATGATTGTTTATATTTTTATATTAAGTTTTTCTTATCTTTTAAAATGAGCTTCTAGTATGATTACAATGCTAGTTGTTTGGGTAAAGCATGTCCATGTTTCTACTTTATCTATTTACATATCAACATTTAAAATTAATTTAAAGTTCATGTTATTACTTCTAGAAAACATATATTACAGTCAAAGTAGGCCTTGTTTTGAGGGTAAGAATGACATGATTGATGAATTTTTAAATTTTCTTAGTGTGAGCTAAAAATATCTCATTTGTTAGAAAACCAATTTTAAATTTCTAAATTTTGCTTGTAAGGAAACAGTCTTCTCTGCCTGGTCTTTTGGGCTTCCCTGTAACAGCCTGGTGGTCTGGCCATGAAATAAAGCCATGTGACTTCTGTTAGAATTTATCCACTAAATCATGAGACTGTGGAAAAAGGCCCAGCTCTTGCTCCTGGTTCTAGTGGCAAATTCTGCCTCTAATTGCTCCGACCTTTCCTTGACTGTCAACTATTTAAATTATACACTAAACTTTGTGTAAATTTATTTAAGTTTAATGTAGTCACTGCATTGTGTAATATCTTTATAATAAGTTTTAAAACTCTGTGTGGTGTAGAGAAAGTCATTACCATGTTTTGACATGAAACTAATGAAAATTTAGCTTTTTAAAACATAGTTGATTGATGGAGAAAATAAAAACATCATCAGGCTTTCTACAGTCAATAAAATGCCACAATACATAAACTTACCTGAGGTTTGAACATAATGTTTCATAATAAGTTTTAATACATAATAATCTCCAATCCCATGCCTCTCATCCTATTTGTTAAGAATTGACACTGTGTGTAGATGCCTTTAAATAGACTTCATTTCATAAGCTCTGGAGGAAATATGAATCACCAATGAGAATTTTTCTTATCAGAGAATCTAAGAAGTTGGTCATAAACATCCTCAATCTCCAGCCCGCACATTGGGCCAGTTATGTGACAGGAAGTCAATAAGAAAGAATATTTATCCATCTTCTTTCAAACGGATGCAGACTACTCTAACTAAAACAGAAAGAGGGTTACCTGTTTTTTACATTTACTTTTGAAAGAAAACATTGTTAGAGTGCTCTGAACTAAAAACCATGATAGCTCAGATGAATTATTACACCAATCATTGTATTTTCTTGAAAAATGAAACATTGTGAGCTTGTGTAGTTTTCAATAAAAAGCAAAAGACAACTTTTGTATCATCTGCATAATTCTTTTTCCTAGTAGAATCCTCTACCAGCTGCTTCGAATGGCGGCATCCTTTTCTTCTGTTTCCTTGTTGTTCTAAACAGCCTTTTCCCTCTGGCCTCTATTCAAAGTTCCTCAATATCACCAGCATTCCCCAAGCCAAACAGCGTTTCTAAAGCATTTTCACTTCGGTAAGTGTCTCTACCCACTCACTGACACGTTGTTTTACCCCGTGAAGCCAAATGCAAGCCTCATCACTCCTCTTGGTTTTGTTTATGAGACTTAGAAAAGTACTACAGAGGAAAAAAAAATGTTAGTCTTACAGAATTTATTTTTCACAAAGCTGTAGCACACATATTTTCTGCAGATAGGAGAGCAAAATCCACGCAGACTAGCTCTTGAGTTTTACTCAACATGGAGTTCACATACATGCATGTAAAAACACGAATATTACTAAAAATCGTCAATTTACATATGCCAAAAACCTGGGAAACACTGTTTCACAAAGGAATCACAATTACACTCCCTATGTCGTATTCGAAACTGTTGACTTCAGATCAGTGTTTGAATGGATTCTGTTTCTTGAACTTGAATAAAATAAGCATGCTCTCTTGGATGCAGCGTTCATAGTATTCTAATGTCAGGGAATGAGGACAAATGAAGAAGTTGAGGAAACTATGAACGCTCCACCCTGATTTGACCTGGCCATAGATCTTTTATTTACGTTGGTTTTTTTCACAGTATTTTGATTTTTCGTGGTCAGGTTGTCTCCAGTGCCCTCCTGCTAATTAAGGCTGATTTGAAGAAATGAATCATTCCTAGTTAACCTACGCTCCTTGGTAATTACCTCAGTACCAGGCAGCCGAGACATATTCATTAAGTACATGCTGATTCCACGTATAAAACAGAATCTTAATTATTTTAAAATGACTTTTAAAAAAATGGTTATGGTCTTCATATTACAAGAAAATGTTAGTCTTTTTTAAGCATACCTTAGAAAAGATTGAATCTTTCTAAGCATATCTTAGAACATGTATACATGATGTGTGAACTCTATTTATTTATAAGCATCAGAGTTTTGCAAAGCCTGCTTTTAGAGTTTCAAAACGTCTTCAGCCAGACTTCCTTTGACATACAGCCTTGGTGTCTGCGTTTGGATGCAGTCCTTCAATATCTCCACACACGCTTGAAACAGCAGAGCCCTCAGCTCAATGCTGCTTCAATCAGCCACCTGTGCTGCAGAGGCTGGGCCGGTACACATGGTGAACGCTGGCAGATAAAACACAAAATTGCCAAAAGAGCCGTGACAGATGGAAGAAAGACCCCTAACCCAAATCATGAAGGTTATCAGAGCATGACACAGCAACGGGAACCAAGCACCGAGAATGCAGTAGCTATAAAATCTCAGGCCACTCATTGCATGCCAGGTAGACACATATTTCAGTACATAAGTACAACTGTTAAATACCAGGCAACAATGAGACACAGCAGAATTATCTTGAAATTATTAAATTTATGTTTAAGAAATGGATGAATGAATTCAGAGGCATAAGATATGGGGGGAAAATTGAGACCTGTCATATAAGCATTTAATATATACCCAGCATGTAGAATGTAACACTATCTATGCAAAGTGTTATTATATGATCACTTTTAATCTTTCCTGTAACTAAAAATTCTGTAACCTTGCATGAAAATGATACAGACAATATTAGAATAATATATACCCTGCTGGCAGGGAGAAACTCACAACCACCCCTAAGCCATCACTCAAAATCTTATTGTTATCCTAAAGGCAGAATGGCTTAAATGTCCAATTATCCACATGTAAAATTACCTCATTCCCTCTCCAGTTTAAACTTTGATGTTCCAAAAGAATTATCCACAGAGTGCAATAATCTAAATGTGGCATATTGACTATGTTGTAGGGCTATTCATGGTTTTGTAAAGAGTGATTTTATGCTCAACCATATTACCCATGTGCTAACCTTAAATGTAACCTCTTTTTTAAAGTTAAAAAATAATTATGTATTTAAAATGGTCCAATCATGCCATCAACAGAATCACAAGTCACAAGAATCACAAGTCAACTATTTTTAATTGCTTAATTGACTTTTTATATATTTCATTTAATTAATTTTATTAGAAATGTGTCCAACTATAATTTGTACATATTATAAAACAGGTAATGGATAATACTCTCATAATTTAATTTTGACAAGCACACGTTGAAATTGGCAAGCTTATCTCCTCTGGAATTTAGAATTATATTTCTCTTAATATAATTTTGATGTAGTGTTTAACTATAATAGTATATAAAGCGTTCTACTGAAGTTGCATAGTTCTTAGTTGTTTCATGTGTAAATAAGAGTAAAAATACCTCTATCATAGAAAGTTATGATGCTTAAATAAGAAAAAAGTTACAACTAGAGGCATATGTTCAAAAAGTTTGATATCCCACTCCCTTGCTTTCTTTAGTCGAAGGCTGCGTATTGAGAGTCTGTGCAGACTAACTCATTCCAGAATAGCATGATGTGAAAAGGCAACAAAAAAGTAGCTTTTCTAATAACAACTAGCATCAATAAAATGTTTAATTTTTTTAAACCAGTCACTGTTCCAGATGTTACATTAAATAACCTTTTTAACCCTCAAAGCATCCTCACGAAACAGATGTTAATGCTGTTTTCATTTCACAGGTCAGGCAAACGAGGTACCAAGAAGAGAAACGGTGAGCCCACAGTCACAGAGCTAGTGAGCTGTGGAAGGCGAATTTCCACCTAGCACCACGGATGCAGAGCCCACGCTCCAGGCTGCGATGCTGTGCTGTGTTGGTGTCCAAGACAAGGAGCATCATCTCTGTTTCAAAACGTGGAAAAGAGTTATGAGCATCAGAATCAATGCTCCCTTCCCCATAGTCCACCATTCCATCATGATGCCTTTTACGGTTATCCATGTAGCATGACTCATGGTTACAATCATGCCACAGATTCACCCAGATCAAAGCATGGCAGGCATTCTGAAGCCCCGCAGAAACGTAATCCCTTCCCAGAGAGACACCCAGAGCTGGCCCAGACATTCAAGCAATCCTGCTGTGAAAAAATGAGAAATGTATAGATTAAACCTCCATGTCTATCCCACACTCTATACAAGGGAGACACTTGCTTATACCTTCAGCTTTTCCACTTAGGCAAGATGAAGGGCTAATTGAATACAGCTGGAAGTTATGCCATTTGTTCCAGATGGGGCTGATATCTCCAACTCAGTGTTCCTAAGGCGATGGCAACACACGGAATTTTATTCTGGTAGAAGCAATAATGTGTGTGTGAGTGTGATGCTCTCTTGTCTGGTCTATGAACAAAAAGCATGTCAATTGAGGTAAATATCTGAGTACAGAAATGGGGTAATTATCTGCATAATCAAGCTTAAAACATATGCCTTTGACTCAAAACTCTGGTGAATTTGAGCTCATTTTTTGCTTTAATAAACTGTTTAACTGCTTTACTTACTGATTTCACTTCTATGTAGAAAAAGCCTTAAGAAATTATTTGCTTGCAGGCATACCTTGGAGATATTGCACGTTTGTTTCTAGGCTACTGTAATAAAACAAATATTTCAAAGAAGTTAATAACAATTTTTTTTATTTCCAAGTACATATAAAAGTTATTTTTTACACTATACTGTGGTCTAAGTTTGCAATGGCGTTATGGCAAAAAAATGTGCATATCTTAACTTAAAAATACTTTATTGCTGAAAAATGTTAACAAACCTCTGAACCTTCAGTGAGTCATATTTTTTTTTTTTTTGGCTGATGAAGGGTCTTGCCTCAATGCTGATGGCTGCTGGCTGATCGAGAGAAGTCTGCTGAAGATTGAAGTCGCTGTGGCAGTTTCTTAAAACAAGACAACAGTAAAGTTTTCTGGCTCAATGGACTCTCCCTGTAATAAAAGATTTCTCTGCAGCATGAGACGGTGCTTCATAGCATTTCACCCACAGTAGAGGCTCTTTCAAAATTGGGGTGAAGCCTGTCAAGGCCTGGGGTTGCTTTATGAACTAGGTTTATAGAATATCCAAAATTCTTTGCTGTCATTTCAACAATGTGCACAGTGCCTTCACCAGGAGCAGGTCTCCCATCAAGAAGTCAGTTACTTTGCTCATACATAAGAAGCATTCAAGTTTTCTCACGAGAGAGCAGCAATCTAGTTCCATCCTTAGGCTCCACTTCTGATTCCAAGTCTCTTGCTGCTTCCACCACATCTGCAGTTACTTCCTCCAGTGAAGTCCTGAACCCCTCAAAGTCTCCCACAAGGGTTGTAATCAACTTCTTCCAAACACCTGTTAACGTTGATATTTTGCTCTTCCCCCATAAATCAGAATTTTCTTAAGTTCTCATCCAGAATGGTGAATCCTTTCCAGAAGGTTTTGCGTTTACTTTCCTTGGACCCATCGGAGGAATCACTGTCTAGAGCAGCTATTGCCTTATAAAATGTATTTCTAAAATAATCAGACGTAAAAGTTGAAATTACTCCTTAATCCTTGATCAATATCCAAAAGAATGGATATTGCAAGAAGACAGTGTTAAGCTCTTGGGTGACCAAATGTGCTTTCGATGAGCAGTAATATTTTTAAAAGAAACTTGTTATTTTCCTGAGTAGTAGGCTTCAACAATGGATTTAAAATATTCCATGAGCCTTGCTGTGTCCATGTGTTCTCATTGGTCATCACCCGCCTATGAGTGAGAATATGCAGTATTTCATTTTCTGTTCTTGTGTCAGTTTGGATTTAGCGTCATTCTTAAGGGCCTTATGATTTTTGGAACGCTCAATGGCCATTGGCTGCCACTGAAAGTCACCAGCAGTAGGAGCCCTAACAAAAGATTTTGATTTAAAGTGAGGGAGATGCAAACTCTTCCTTTTATTCAGACACATAGAACCCATTATCACTTTCCTAATTTGCCTAGTTGTAATATTCTTGCATCTCAGAAAATAGGAAGGCCTGAGGAGGAGGAGAGAGACCATGGAACTGCCCACGGGTGGAGAAGTCCGAACACACAACACTTTCATGAACATCACTGTCTTCTGTGGGTGTGGTTTCTGGTGCCTCCAAAACAATTACAATAGTAACATCAAAGATCACTCATCATAGATCGCAGATCTATAATATAATATTATTGGGAGCTGTGGTGGCTCAGGCCTGTTGTTTTGCACATAAGGAGGTGAGGCCAGGTGTTCGGGGTCAGCCTGGGCAACATAGAAACCTCTCATCCATAACCATAATAATAATATTGTATTATAAAAAGTATAATAATGAAAAAGTTTTAAAAAAATTGTTAAGAGTCACCAAAATGTGACACACTGACAAGAAGTGAGCACCTGCTATTGGAAAAATGGTTGCAATAGACTTGTTCCATGATCAAACCTTCAGTTCCCAAAAGAACCCACATTATCTGCAAGGGCAATACAGTGAAACAGTGAAATGGGTTGTGCTGTACTTGGTACGTGCGTGTGTATTGAATTATAGATGTGGCCCTATGCTGTGTGTTGTGTGGAGTCTGAGAACCGGAGTGGGAATCTCATGGCAGGCAGTGAGCTCTGGCCATCAGGAATATGGGTCCTGGGGAACACGGCCACACGCCTGCAGAAGGCTGCCGTGTTGCCCCACATGGCTTTGTGACAGCCGCTGCTGTCCCCGATATAATTTCCTCCTGTGGTCAGGAGCACATGGCTGTCACCACTGTTGAAAACTCACAGGCATCCTGTGCGTGCCCACAATGCTCTCTGGCCTCCTCCCAGGCCCTGCGCTCTGCTGAGTAGTTTTACCCCCAGCAGGACTCTTGAGTCACTGGACCCCTTCACCTCTCTCAGAAGCAAGTGTCCTGCACACCTCCGTATCTCCATGTGTGTAAGTCTCTGCATTCCAAGCCCAGAAGCCGCCATGTGAATGTAAGCCTGCTCCTCCAGACCAGCCCTGTCGGAGCCGACTGCAAGAGCACAATGCTGACTCTAAATGTGTGTCCTCATGGGAGGGGTAGGACGTTCATAGTTCTGGCTCCTGCCTTCCTCATCGGCCAGCAATTGTAAACTTGACAAATGACTGTGGCTCTCTTAGGTCAGGTGTTTTATAAATTTTATTCTAGAATGAATATAAAAATAACACCTGATGTACAACATGGCTTTGATCATTTCACCAAGTGAAATAATACTTAGAGAGTAACTCACAAGCCGTAGCCAGGGCGTGTGTGGACCACCTCAACACAGAGATGCACACTTGAGTGCAGGGTCATATTCATAGACGGAGCACAGGTGCAACAATCCTATGGCTGAGGAAGAAACGGTTTCAAAGAAGGAATGAAGTAAGAAGACTGTCTCCTGTGTTGAAATGCAAGGGAGTGAATATTGATTTTATTTCCTGGTTTGTAAACTCTTTGGAAAGGAACTATGGCAATATCTGTTCATATTAGTCATACCTGAAAAAACTCATGTTTTAATTATCTGACACTTTATAGATCTGAGGACTGAGTAGATATCACACATTTCTATTTCTGCTAGGAAAGAAAGAGACACGTATTCATTCATTTATCCATTAGTGATTGTATTCAGTTTCTGGAATAAAACATGCTTCTTGGGTGTCACCTGAGTGCCAGGCACCATTCTAGGCCCGCAGATGAGGGGAGGGAATAAAGCAAGGCCCAAGTCATAAGAGGATGTGACGATAGACAAATGATCAGACAATGTATACTAGGTCCAACAGTGCGCGCTCCAGAGGCCTTCTTTATCTGTGTCGGTTTTTGACATCTACATGACTCTGCTGCCCCCTTGACAGGCTGCAGGTCTAGTCCACTCTTCATGCATTTTCTGTGTAGCTCAATGGAGAATGTTAATTTTTTGATTCAAGAAAGGAAACATCCTCCATGATAAATAAAAAAAAGTTACTCAAAAGAAGGCGATGCAGCAGTGTAAATGGAAAGCAGCCATTAGATTCCCAGCAGAGCAGCTGGCCAGGCGAGCGTGGTGGGGAGGCTGGGAGCTGGAGAGAACTGGGCTCAGTGTAGTTTCGTGTTGCAAGCAAGGTCCTGAGTCTGGTTACCTGCCCCTGCCGGGCACTACTGTCCACTTGATGTGCATGCAAGCATGTCTGGGGTCCTTAATTTCTGACCTCTGCACTTGAGGGGAATATCAGCAGAATCGTGGCTCCCATGCAGTGACTCGGTGAAGACTGTCTAAGGAACGGGAGCCATACTCAAACATGAGAGTAAGTTTCCAACCCTCTTTTCATTCCTCTTGCTAAGTGTCAGAATGGCGTTTGACTTCATGTAACAGAGTAGTCCCATAAAGCAATAATTTTGGGGCAAAAAAAATAAAAAACAGGTGTTTTCTCCCTCACAAAAGAAGAAAGCTCATCAGCTGGCAATTTAGATGTCTTGCAGCCACTCCATGAAGGCTTAAAGCTTTTTTTCTTTTTTCTTGCCATCCCTGTTATGTGGCCCCTATATTCATGGTCCAGTATCGCTGCTGACATCTGGTCATCAAGATAGCATTCCGGGCAGAGAGTGGAGAAAGTGGGAGGATCCCCTCCCTGCATAGAGTGTTCCTGGACTTCTTTACTCCATACTTTACCCAGTTTTCACTCCTGCAAGTTCTCCTGCTTCTGACACTCCCTGACGGAATATCTAGGAGGACACCTCCAACCTGGTTCCTGTGCCATGTGGAGCTGGCACTGCCAAGAATATTCCCAAATACAAACGAGTTTCTCTCAATATAAAGAGGAGCTGCTTTTTAAAGATATCCATTGTTTAGGAAGTAGAAGGAAGGCTTCCTGTACTGAGTGAGGTAAATCTGCTGCTTCTGGCAGTGTTTTAGTGACAACTGTAAGAAGACTTCAGTGATGAGAAGCAGACATCAGTGCCTCCCAAGTCCTTCTGATCCTTAGGTCTTGTTTCTTTAAAGTCAGCAGTCGGCACACTGGTGCATGGTCTCCAGATGCAGGAACAGTGGTTTGGAGACTGACGGTATTCCTGCAGATAGGAAGGGCAAGAGGTCGTGCTAGAATGCCCGGACTGAACAATTCACATGAAGCTTGTCGCAAAACTTTTTAGATAAGTTAACTTTGAGAAAAAAATACGTCATTTTCTGACTGCGAATGTATACTGTTTATGCATATACACCAAAAAAATTCATTTCGGTCCTATAGTTTGCCGATTGTAATTCAGTGTCTGTTTTGTGTTTGTTGGGACATTTTTACTGGTTGTGCAAATTTCCACAAGCCACTCGGTATCTATGACTGTGACTGCAGTTTACTTGAGAATGGACTGGGGTTGATGACCCCGGCCTCCCACAGAGACACCTTGAGGATTTAAAGTTTTACCTGAATCCACATTTCCATGCGTAGTATCTCTCAGATATGTGTGTGTGTGATTTGCAGACGGGAGCTGTATCTTTCTAAAACAATCGATGGTGCTGTTCCCATGTGAGTACAGTTGCCTTCATGTGGATCATCACTGTAAAACTGAAAGAGCGTCTCCAAACATTCCGCTTTGAATTAGAACTCAATCTATTTAAAAATGTTATTTTCATTTCAAAATGATGTCCTTTGATTAATTTCATTTTAATTTCCAGCACATAAGCTCATTTGCTTTTCACATTTCAAATTCGCAAGCATTTCTTTGTGCTATCCATTAATTATGTTTTAGAAGAATGCTAATTGTGAACACAAAAGTAAGGTTACTACTTTTTTTCCCCTTTCTAAATAAAAACAATATTCTTTAAATCTTTCTGTTTGTACCCAACTCCTGAGGACATTTATAACGTTTCTGCTTAGTGCTGAAGATAAGTTTTTCAGTTAGTATGTATTCTTTGTAATTCAATTATTTCCTGGTTAAATGCCAACTTTTTTACACTATGATCACTTTTGATGTATACAATGCCAATTGCCAGCTGTTAAGATCCTAGAAATGGTATAAATATTTAACATTAATACTTACTTGCTTTTCTTTCTCCTGTAAAGTTTGATAAACATCTTTACTGTTTTCATCGTGCAGGTCGAAATTTACTTTAAAAATAGAGTCGCTTAATTCCTTTGCCCCACTTTTCAATAGGCCGTTGATATCCCCACGACGTGTTTTTCTCGTTCTACTTCCCTCACGAGGCGTTGTTTCCGTTAAAGAGAACTGCTTCTCAGTATCCGACAGAATCTCAGTTCCACAAGGTTCCTCTTTGCAAAGTATCAAATCCTTTCTGTGAAATTCACATTAAGCAATGATGTCGACACCACCTTATTTGTTTATAGAGTTGCAATGCTATAAAACAGAGACCTAGGAGAGGCAATTTGTTACAAAAACATAAGTTAAAAAAATAAAAACTATTAATCAGTCCTTCCCTGCAAATCAATGATGAAAGAAGAGCCTCTGTTTTTTTTCTCAACTGCAGAGAGCTCCGGAATTGAACTCCAAGGTGTTGCTTGACTCCCATAGAGTCCTTCCCCTTCACACTGATGCTTTATACATGACTGTTGAACTGTTCCTGGGACACGACAAATCTAAATTAACCCGAAATACAACAGGGATTCCAGGAGTTAGATCATGAGTCCGGAGGAGAATTTGAAAATATCTCTGTTTCAGGAAGGCTTATCTTAATTATTTTTCTTATCAATGTA